ATCGTCTTTACCGATGGATATCTCGTCACCTCCTTCCTCTGACAGGGCCCCGGATCGTCGTAAGAATTCCTCTCCTTCCTGTTCAACAGTAAACAGATTTTCATTCGATTAAGACTTAGCTTATGCGTAAAGTACTAAAAAGTAGCACCGTTGCCTTCAAAAGTTTTTATTGGCAGTCTTAATGGTTGCTTTGATTCTTTTTTTTTTTTTTACAAGAAAGCTTCTTTATCCAAAACTTGACACGTCATAATTGTCAAAAATAAAAACTTTTCAAGGAAAGATTTTACAGTTAAGAAAAGGAGAGACAGAGATGACAAGTAAAACAAGCGCAAAATATTCTAAAATCACGTAAGACTTAAGAGGGACTCTGGATTTCAAGAAACGGGGGGAAATCGATCGAACGAAGTGATCACACAGCCGAAAACTTGAGCGGCAGTAATTATCACATTCGGAAGAACAGTTTCAAAAGTTACTAACTCTACTGGAAGTATTCGAATCGAAACTTTGCTCACTGACACCAAGAACAGTCCTTCATAGACTACCAAGACCTAGGCACAATTTAATTGACTGTCAGTTCCGGATTGAACCATACACTGAATCATCCTCGACAAAAATTCATAGCAGAGCCTCTTCCTGCCCCTTCCCCAAAACATTACTAACATTTCCTATGGCATCTGCTATCGGCTAAGTCTCTTCACTTTTTCTCTGGCAGGGTAGCAGATCGAACACACAGCTGGATAAGTCAGGCATCATGAAAATGTCACAACGTTTTTCACAGTAAAAACTAGGGTTTACCTTCACTGTTACATCGATTGTTGAGTCTCGTTGTAGCTTGGGACGAGATGGTGTGTCTGCTGAACCTTCTTCTAGTTCATTTTCGTTTATTTCCCCTGTCCGTTGCAAGAACTCCTGGCCCTCCTAAAAACAATATCGGAGGGACAAAAGACTATCAAAGCCAAAATATACTGGTAATCAAGATTACATTAGGTGATAGAACTTCATGTAAAATCGAAAATTATAGCAGTTGATATTTGTTTTTTTTTTCAATTCGTCCTTTGTATTGCGTGTTGATCCTGTCCATCTTTAATAGACTTCTGTTAGGAAGGAAGAGACCTTCCCTACCCAAAAACTTGTCTGAATCGTCCTGCTCAATGTTCATTGATGCGTTTTGTAATTCCCAGTCCCAGTGCCCGCAGTCCCATTATACCCACAAAAAAATAGGCCAACACCAATTCTTCTCTCACGGATTCGGGCTCTAACCTATCCTTATTCCATCTTGGCGTATCTGGGCGACTGCCCACCAACCCCTCCCCTAACCCAACATTAACCTTAACTTGTTGTCAATTGACTGTTGTCGAGTTAGGGGAGGGGTAGGAAGGCAGTTGCCCAGATACTAATATTGATCCCAGTATTTTTATTAAAATAAATAAAAAGGTAGGAACTGCGCTGAACTTCAGGACGAGAGGTTCGAGTTTGAGACTTGGTCATGTGAAAGTGCTGTGTCCTTGAGCAAGACAGGAGTATGGATGGGTACTAGTGAACTGTAAAGGAAATCTGACGAAATGCTGGAGGGTGATCTGGGACGGAATAGCATCCCATGCATCCAGAAGGGAATAGCAATACCCCTGGTCACTTCATGCTAAGGAAACTGGGCTAAGCTCCGACCAAATGAGTCACTTGGCTCAATTGCTACCTCAACATTCTACCTTTGGCATTATTACATCTTTCCTTCAAGCTGAAGGTAGTTTTGCACTTTGCAAAACTCAATGATTCAGCACACAAACGAAGCCTGGATAAAATTTTAAGAAAGCTGTTAAGATTTGCGACACAGTCTTTTGACGTGTGGCTTCCTGAACCTTCTATGAGATGATTCAGTAGGGAGGGGGGTTACCTTAACGGTGGCGTCAATAGTGGAGTCACGCTGAAGCTTGGGAATATGGCGTTTACGTCTTCAACGGTGCGAGTTGAAGTCTCATCGACGGTGGGAAGCTTTCTTTAGTAAGAGCAATTCTTTATGAAAAATCGTACTCAAGATACTTTGGCAAAAAACTTCTCACTTACATGCAGTTATTAATGAAAAATCGTTGGCATAAAATTTCCCTTAATCTCCTTCTCCTCTTTTCCCTTACATGATATGTCACGCACCCCTTTCCCCTTACATGATATGTCACGCACCCCTTTCCCCTCAAAAAAAAAAGCTCGTTTCGTGACATTCCAGAGGACAGCTATAAAGGAGACGAAATTTTCTGTAAAAACTTTTCTAGACAAGTTACCTTGTTAACCACAGAGACAAACAAACAAACTTGTCATTTGTTTTTTTTGTCGTCACTCAATTTGGTAAAAGTTTCTTGTGACACTTGCTAGTGTGCAAACTGTGTGATTAACTCTTCAACTCCCATAAGTAACCAAGACAGAATTTCTCCTTACAATATCAAAACAATATCAAGCAGACAAGTATGTAATGAGATTGAATTAATATAAAGTATCAACAAGGGGAATGTTATTCCCAATACCGAATTCTCCAAAGCAACATCATTAGAATTGTATGAAAAATTAATAATAAGATCGTGAGAGTGAAAAGGTTAAGCGAATGTAATATTAGTTCGTGATGTGACTGATGTCCAAATGAGAATGTGTCACGCCACAACTAACTACCAAAAAAAAACCTTCGAACTGGCTGAGTAACAAATCCATGTTTTTTTTTATTCAAACACAGTGCATTTCCTGTCATTTATTAACGAAACATATGTAGTTGAACTTTATTTCCCTCACTTTCACGCATACATTCTTGTCTCAACGTAGTAATAATAATAATAATAATAATAATAATAATAGTAATAATAACATTTATTTACACCGCGCAAACGAATTCATCATGGAGTAACGTAACGCATTCTGATTTTAACCCTTCTCACCCTATGTCATTATGCATATTCTCCATACTGTTCTTTATACATTTCCTAAGGTGCTGACAAGGAGATTTTTTTAACTGATCAAAAGCTTCTTTTATTGGTAATCCTTTCCTTCATTCTCATGACCGTAATGTTTGATTCAGGGGTAATATTGTATGGAGAAATTAGATGCTAGTCTCTCTTAGGGTTTAAAGGGTTAATTGCCATGAAGCCTTTTCAGGAAATACCTTTGCTGTGACCTCCATGGTTGAAGCACGTTTCACCTTTGGGGTTTCTTGGTCTTCTTCTGATGAATCGGCCGGGGTCCTATCAGGAGAGTCTGCAGAGTATCCTTCTCTTTCAAGAAATACTGCTCCTTCCTAAGCATGAAGAAGAAACTTGCAAGTGTCAGTTGGATGCGCACTAACATTAATCCTTTGAGAGAGCACAACAGAATGTAAAAGTCAGAATTTTGAATGCAATTCTAGATAATTTCGCGAATGGCATACGTCTAGGGATTCTTTATTTTCCCGTTGAACGGGAATAGAAGGTTTTTTCCTATTTTCCCTATCTTCAGTACTAAGTTGGCGAGCGACGCACATCTCTGTGTTTTTACCTTAGCTGTCTCAGCCATCGTTGACTGTCTCTTGAGCCGTTTAGGAGTAGTTTCAATGTCATCATTATCCAGTTCCTCTTGTTTCTTATCATCATTGTCTTGTGCACCAAGTCCATACTTCACTGATGGACTTTCAATGCCATGTCTTGCCAAGAACTCGGCGCCCTCCTATTGAACGACAAAGAAAAACAAGCGAGTTATTTTAGACATGAGAATGATCCAGGCTGAGGTAACAGTGTAAAGGGTTGTGGCAAAGGGTTAACACAGGGGTTTATGAATGACGCGTGATTAAGCCCATAATGAATTCGTGATGCGTGAATTTTACAAACAGGAAAGGCAAAGAAAGGTGAGATTTGTAGTTTTCCTTATAAATTCGTGACGCATGAAATACTGTTTAAATTGCACGTGACGCGTGATTTTTTCTTAAATTCGCGCATGAAACAGGATAAGGACCCCTTCTTTACTACCCTCAGCGTAGCACATTCATTTGCTGAAAGAACTTAAAAACCTTATCCTAAACATATCTACAAATATATGGTCGATTTCCTCTGCTCCTAAGATTTAAAACACGAATACACACACGAAACGAAGCCTATTACAAGCTGGCACATAGCAGCTGCAGTGATAAGCTCACAATCGTCAGTTTCTCTTCCACTCAGTCTCAATCTAGGCTGATATCACCCCTCCCCTTCCGTCCTCCTGAGTGAAGGAAAGTAAATAGATAAAAGCCGAACCGCACACACGGTCGCAGAGGTCGATTCTCAGTGACCACAGGGTACGGGAAATACGTGGGTCATAGCATGTATCAGTGCGTCCACTCCAATGGCGCTTTTTCGCGGCATCAAAGAAAAATACTGGAGCTTGACTAACTCGAACGCTGATTTCAATGAGAGTAAAATACCTCGGTAATGTAAAGCCCATGTCTGTCATGAAAGCAAATGCGCGAAAAAACACGCGTCGAAGTAAGCTTGCAACAGCTTTAAACATAGACCTGTCACATAAAATAATTTTTAAGATCGATTTAAGAGGATCGGAATTCGTGGATTTGTATCAAAATTTTCACTCACCTCAGCTGTTTGCTGCATCGTGCCAGCGCGCGATAGTTTTGGTCTCTTTGAAGCCATTTTTCCAAGATGTGACTAACCTCAGTGAATCTCGCCTCATGCGTGACAAGAATGAACCAGCGTGGCGCCAGCTAATTATGTTGCGCTGACATTAAGATCAACGCCCGCTTCCTTAGCAGTGTTTCTTATGCCTTTAGCATGCAAGCTTTTAAATATGTAGTTTTTAATGCTGATAATAAAAATTGCGTTAGTTTTACGAAAGTCATGCCTGAACTTGTCTTGTTTATTTCTGACCGGAAGTTTCCCAGACAACCTCGAGCACGCGCCTTCATTCAAGGGCAATGAACAGACGAATACCTCAGAATTTTATGCGCGATCTTAGGTTGTTTAGCATGTCTGCTGATTTGTAAATCGCTGGCTCGGTTCAGCCAACACGGCAAGAGACAAACAAACAAAGTATGTGTAGGGCACAGAAAAGTTGAAATAGGTTTGAGATGTTCACACCCCGCAAGTGCGGTGTTAAGTACGAACCTCCAACGCTGGTAGTTTACTATGAGGTCAATCTTTCAGGTGTGTAGAGTGAAAATGATTTGGTACAGTGCACCATTGAAGATTCAGTGTAACTTGGTTTACTAAAAACTCTTGACGGTAGAAACTGATTTTAAAAACAGTATTAGCTGTTATGGGACATTTACTTTTCTTTTACATTAAGGGCTACGATTGTATTTACTGTTCTCAGTCATAAATCGCCTGTGATATCAGAAGGTGACGTGAACCCTCATGGCATAAAAGCGACTGACAAGTTTTTCATTGCTCTAACAGTTTGTGCATGTGGGTGCAACTGAGGTTTTAAAGCTTAAATTTTTTCGTTCAAGGAAAAATACGCAAGAGATCAATGCCATTAAGGAAGTTAAGTAAAGATTCAAGGTAAGTATCTAAAATAGACTGTGGACCTCTTCATTCAACCTACATGTAAGCTACATTTTGTACACATCACACAAGAGACCCTACATGTAGGTGTATGAACACATGTAACAATCTTTTTAAAAAATAATAAATGCAATCTTAGCTTATTAGGTTTAGTTGGAGATTTGGAAAAAGTTAATGATAAAGTCCGCACTTAAATGAAATTGCCCTATCCAGTGAAAGCTAATCCCAGTTTCTGTAGCATGGAACAACCAGGAGTGCTACTACCCCCCTGAGTAAGATGCTAGTCCATGGCAGGGTACTATCTCCTCCCCCTCCAGTATTTTGATAGGCTTCCTTGACGGTTTCTGTAACCCAATTATACTCCTGGGTGGAATGAAGAATCATACCATTGAAGAGTCTTGCTTAAGAACACAATTCATTGACCACAGCTTGGTCTTGGTCCAGGACCTCTAAAATGGGAGTCCAGCACACTAATTATTGGCCACCACATGTTCCCCTAACAGTTTATAATTACACATTTTTACTCCTGAGTGAAAAAGACACTATGATAGTTAACTGTCTTGCCTAAGTGTACATATTATGGTGAGATTATAGGGCATGAGGCCCACTCTTAGGCACACTCCTTTACCAGCAGGCTGACCACCAGGCCATTCTGACCCTCATGCTGTTTAGTATAATTGCTGCAGTGCTATACTGCGACATATCTTGCTACAATCACCTCACCCACAGTGATTCTAGCAGGATGCTAAATGGCTGCTTTATGTTTTGTCAATGTTACCACAGTAGTGATACATGCAATAGAAGAAAATAAGATTCTGAAGAGAACACTAAGTTTGGTGTAATACTTTTCAAAAGAGAGCTATGAAGTTTTTGCCAAATGAAGTAGATAAACATTGAATTAAATGAAATTCTATTGGAAACTGGCTGCTTATCTAGATACAAGTAATCAAAACAAGAATGAAAGGATGGTTTCAACAACACAACAAAAGCACCTTTCAATAACAGTTTAAAAGCACCTGAGCAATAATAGCAAAACAATTATTTGCCTCAGGCTCAGTGAATATGGTTAAATATTCAATATTGCTTGATTTCATGCAATTGTTTACAATGTTTTATTTTCTGCAAGGGATCGGTATCTAAAATGAATAATCATGTCATGTTTATGTCTCCACAAATTAATGTTTTGCCTACTTTTTAAAAATGGAAAACATTCCATGGATTTCAATTTGGCTTTTAGTAAGTTTAAATAAGCCTCATCATCTGTCTTGAAACCCTGGAAATAAATAATCCTATAATGTAGGTATTTATTTAGAGCTGTCTGGCTATGTTAGTTTTTCCTCTTCACTAGCATCTCATTAGTTGTTATATTAATATCTACAGCTGTCTCTATTTTCAACCAAAAAAGTTCAAGTTAGTTATTGGAGTGACTTCAAAAATTTTTTTGCACAGTACCTCTATTTCAGAGGATGACATATCATTCTTTACAGTCATATCACCCATAATAGACCACAGCTTCAGGTCGCGTTTGTTACGTTTGCATTATGGTGATGATTATTGTTGATTGAATGAAAATACAAATGAAGCCAATAAAATGATCATTTGACATTGGTATTCCATTATAATGCCATTTACCACTTTAGGGTAATGGAGTGCATAAAATATGCCATGGTAAATACACTGTTGAACAGGCTAAAAATACAGACAGAATTGATCTGCATTATCTTTTATTTCTTTCTTGTTTATTAAACATGGTTTTTCAGCTTTTCAGCCACAAACTTCAAAGCCAACAATAATTTTTTTGGTCATCAAGAACACTAAAAAATGTGTTGTTTTCTTTTTTTTTATGCATGCCTTGTGTGATCATATGGTACTCAGATAGATTGTACAAAATTTTGAAAACTAAAAGCCTGAAAACTAGAAAATGATCTAAGAGTAGAATAATAAATTCTGTATCATTGCTTGTCTTTTTCCTCACCACTGTGGGCCTCAGAGAAAGACTATACAACTCACAAAATATCAGCATGTATTATATATTAAACCATTGAACAAGGTATATTAATTTATATATTAACTATGTACACAAGGGATGGTCACCCGGGTGTATTAATGAAAATAATGGATGAATGTCTATCTTTGTTTCTTGTAGTATATCAGAAGTGGTGAATGATTTAAAGGAAAGCTCAAAGCATGCTAAATATTTAGAAAACATCTCAGCCAAACAGGTATTGCATTTTATTTACCATAAATGTACTTAATAAGCAATTTATTTAACCCTTTAAATCTTAAGTGTGACCATCATCTAACTTCTTATTACAGTAACACTGAATCATTCATTAAAATCATCAGTCAAAATTCAAGAAATGATCACCTATTGCTTTGTGTTTTAAACAAATCCTTATTGTTAGTACCAAAGGAAAGTATAGACAAGAATATGGATACTGATGTTAGGGTGTAAAGGTTTAGGTATATTTCTATAATGTGGTTTCATTGTATTCATTTATTGTTATAATTGAACTTTGTCATTGGTTTGTCATTGCTATGTTTCTTTGCTTTAAATTGAGTTTTAATTATGACCTTCTTTACCATGTAGTCCACAGACAAACATTTTGTGTATACTTTTACATAAAATGGAGAGCATTGTGTACATGTAAGCAATGTTATATCATAATTATTATTTCATGTTATGCTATGTAAAATGTCTGCAGTGTTGTGTACTTTTATTTTGCTGTGGGGTTATATCTTGTCATGTCATTTTATCTCATGCCAGGTTATGTGATGTTAACAGCATTACTAAAATATTTATTTTAAACTTTTCAGCTTGAGAATCTGCTCACAAGAATCCAGAACAACATGGAAGGGATTGATACTTTGCCATTTTTAAACCCATCGACTAAAAACACTGACCATGATGAAGACCTTAATAAACTGGATGACTATGAACTTGATAAGAGAAAAGCTGACATGGATAAAGATTTTGAAAAGAACAGACTTAGACCTGGAGATGATGGTTTTGTATATGATAAAGAGGTGGATTTTACTGCAGGAAAAATGGAATCAGGATGGGATGATGAAGATGAATATTCTGATCCAGATTTCTAAGTTATTGTTTTGTTAAATTATACACCATTTCAATTGTTTTTTAATTTTTAACAGGATGTCCTACTTTATTATTGGGTGCATTTTCCCCTAATATTCCATGGTGAATTTTGTATTTATAATAGTTGCATTGCAGCAGGTACGCAATGTTTATCATGAATTTTGCCCTCTGAACGTGAAAAAAAATTGTAAATTTTTGAAAATTTTGGGTTCCAATAAGATATTCCCTCCCTTTAGCATGTCCCCTTGCAAGAAAAGAGCAACAGAAAAAAAATGGTCAGTAATTATTTGAGATGATGTGGTTTTATCTTCTTTAATTTTCGTACTTCTGCATAGTGCCATTCACCAGAATGATTGAAGCACTAATAAATAGAATTACTCACTCACTTACATACCTGCTTATATACTTGTTTACCCACTTATCTACTTGTTTACTTTGAATAACACATTCCCCTGTGAAATGCCACTATGATTTTCCAGTGATATTCCAGTGATATTTCCAGTTCCTCAAAAATCGTGATCACTTTATAACTGACAATGTAATCTGACCTTCAAGTAGACCTTTCAAATGAATCTCTCAAAGAGTTTCGCGGATTGTAAAGTGCATGATGGTGTCTACAAATAGGTCAAGTTGGAGAATTGCCCCCACCCCCCCCCCCTTCTCATGTAAAGCCACACAGCTGTAAGAAGTTTGACTTTTTCAAGTGAAATTCACTTTGTGGTTGAGAATTAACCAAATAGATTGTCACAACTCACGAATTGCATTACACCAGACAATTATTAGAGTAACTGCTATTACTCAACAGGGGAAATAGAAAGGTACCAATCTCTCTTATTCACAAATAAATTTCTGAGTCTTTTTTAATTAACATAATTTAAATTTATAGTTAAAACTATTGCTTTTAATCGCCCCTTCTAGACTTCTTTCATAATCCCAGGCCTAATTGCTAGTCTTGAACAATTGTGTAGAATGGCCTTTTGGCCTAAAAAAACAAAGTGCTTGCAAACAACAGTATTTTCACATTAAAGTGAGACCATGACAGCATAAGGTAGTTCTTTGAGTGAGCACCTAGGGGCTTAAAATATTTGGCCAAAAGTAGAGGTGCTTATAGGAAGAAGGGTGCTTAATCAAGGGGGCCTCTTTTGAGAAACAGTTAACTTGTCAGTGATTCTATTGTACTTGAAGCTTAGAAAAGTTATAAATAAGGTGGTAATAGAAACAAGTTTTCCACTTGTTTGATATTATGGCCTAGGGGGTGGGTACTTATTAAGGGGAGGGTGCTTCTTCAAGGAAATATGGTTTCTGCATCCACAAAAAAAAATAACAGCCATCACCAACAGAGTTAAAGAGGTCTTTTTTTCTCTTTTTCCCTATCATAGGTTTAATTAATTTCTGTTTTTTTCTCTTATGTTCAAAATGACAACTCTGATGTCACCTTGCTTACTTTTAAAGGTTTTCCTCTACATATTCTTTCATTAGCATTAAGTAAGAAGGGTTTCTTCTCTCTCGTTTTCGGCAGTGAACACTGCATGTAGGGGATACACCCCACTCCCCTAAAAATGCTGTTAGCCACTCCTTTAGATGGTTGTGCTCGCCTTTTTGTCAGAAATGTTTCCGTTTCCACACACTACATTCAAATTCGTTGGAGAAATATCCTCCAGAGAAACAGTTTAGTGAAGTAACTGTAAATGAAAATGATCTAATTTGTCAGTTTTTAGGCCTAAAGTTCTGCTAATAAGATAAGAGCAAACATGCAAATCAATTTCTTTTTGGAAAGTACGTGAATTCACATAGCTGGAGGAAGTAAATAAGATTTTCTCTAATTTTGGGAAAATTCTCTATTTGCACTGTTGAAATATTAAAGGAAAACTGAACGTCTCATAAATGGGATTTTTGATATTGCAAACATGCGGTTGAAGTGATTGATGGTGCCTAGTATTAACCAGATGTTTCCCAAAACAGGGGGTTTAGAAATATAAAGAAGTTGTGATTTCTTCGTTTCAATCAAGCAATCGGTTTGGCTCACTCTCAACAACGTAATTACAATAATGGACTCCTGAAATAATGAAATGAAAATAGTAATAATGGAGCCGATTCCACCAAACCAGAATCATATAGCTTTGTGCTATAAATGTTCCTGAGAAATCATAGTAGCAATTTTTGCCTCGCCACACATCTTGCGTGTTCCCGATCAATTACTAGTGCAATTTTATTCTTATTCAGTGAATAGACACCACGTTTCCCCCGCTAGAAACGCCGTATTTTCTCTGCAAACATATTTTAATCCCCCTCCATTTTACTGAAAAATGCCTCCCTGCATGCTAGTATGTAATACTTTCCATGTGTGAAGTTTGTATTATGCTACATGCATTTGAAGGCTTCTGCGCGAAGCAATCTCTTTCTTCGCTACATTTTTGTGCGTGACAATACCGCTCTTTGATGTCAGTAAAGAATTGCTCAGTGGTTCATTCAAAATCCGAGGGCTTTATGGAGATTTTGAGATATCATATTCAAATTTTCAAAAAAATTGATTCAATACAGTTCCTCGAAATGACGATGAAAATTGGCACTTTCGGCCGATGTTAGGCTTGTCGCGCGCTTGTCTTCGATTTCCCGCGTTTCCGCGCGGAAGTTGTTGAAGACTGAAAACGAATGACGGAATGTAACATGGCGTGACCGCAAAGTCGTTTGAGAAAACTCTGAGACCAAACTCTGAGCGTGAAAAGCCCTTTGATATTTCGTGGCTTTAAAGGAGTGTTTGCTCTCGTATTTTTGAATGGTAAAAAAATGTTTTCAGAGGCTGCAAAACGCCGTGGCTCATAAAAACCCACACGCTACCAAGCACAACAAACTGGAAGACAGCGTGCGAAACTTAAGGTAGAGCTTAAACTGAGCTTAAATTTTCACTATTATTATTTTCACTGTTTCTTTTTTTCGATTTTACTCCCTGGTAAGTTTTTGACTCGGTTAGACCAGGATTTTGATTGAAGGGGTGAGTGGAACAGAGCCAGTGAGTGTACTTGATGCAGCGTCAACTTCTCCTTTTGTTTCTCAAGGAAATGTTGTATAATTTGGAGGGAGAATCTAGCGGTCAGTCGGGTTAACCTAACGTTTTGTTTGGCATGCATCCTTTCAAGTATTCTGATATTCTTATGTACTTATATGTAGGAAAATTAAATTTATATTATAAGCTGAATCCTATACAAACGTTGATTGGTTCCTACACATACCTATGATCTATCAGAGGACAGATGCAAATATGACATCATCATGAACAACAATTTGCCTTTTTAACGTAGAAAACAAATTAGATTTTATGCTGCCATGGGTCTGTACACTGATCCATGTAGACTATATAACACTTAAAAATGCAATAAGAACATGAGTGACACACTCAGCTGTGCCTTATGCGCCACTTTCAATTGTGATCTATTACTGAACAGCAGGGCCCAGTTGTTCGAAGGCCAATCAGAGCTAACCCAGGGTTAAATTTTAATCCAAGTTTCTTTATTTCTTCGATCAAAAGTCTTTTAGGAAAAAATTTTCACTATTAATAGAACATCCAATGATCAAATTGTAAGCAAAAAGATTTGAACTGAATTTTCTTTTAAAGCTTTCAGACCTGAAATAAAATTTCACACTAACCCTGGGTCACCTAAACCCAGCTTTGAACAACCTGAGGTGGACGTTTAGCAACATTAAATGTATTTGATAAATATATCATATGCTCTCATTACACCAGGTGTGAGTGGGGCCATTTTATTGCCGTAAATTTAATTAAAACAGTGCATTACATGGAAATTGTTTTACAGACTTGGGTGGTTAAGGTCGTTAAAGTTATGAGGCAGTTCATAGTTTGAGTATAAATTTATGGGGTTGGAATGTACACTGACTAATGAAAAAATTATTTTGATATCACACCCTTGCTATGATCAATATACATGAAGTAGTTAGTACTCTGAAGTTCTACTATCAATTGCACTGTGAGTCATAATTTTTGAAGACATGAGGGGTGAAATGTAAGAATATACAGACCTTCTGATAATAACTAAGCAAAAAATTTACATTTATTTTGTGCGAACAATTTGCATCTTTCAAAGAAGGAAGTTACCCAGAGTAGTTATTTTGGAAGTGGCAATGTTTGATGATGTTAATCACTCATGATTTTATTGAATGTGAGTTCAGCACCGCAACTGACCATGTTGTGGGTCCATGATTGGCCAGGAAAATTAGAGGATGTACTTATATGCATCATAAAAAATTATTGCCCAAGGAGGCATTGTTGAAATTTTTAATATTTTTATGATTATCTTTATTATTATTATTATTTGGCAATGTTCAGTTCACATTATAAAGTAAAGTTTTAACTGTTAAGAGCTTTTGGCAAAAATTCAGTTGACTGTGTCTAGCAAGAAAGCAACTCTTTAAGGATACAAACAGAGGGAACTGATGTTATCTCATAAAAATGTAAATAAATTGTTGCACCCTGATTTGTTTTTTGGGGCAAATTTCACCATTTGCTCTTTTTTCTAGTTTACTATAAAAGGACTTTTTCTAAGATGAAAGGAGTGGTAAAAAATAATTTGGTTTTATCAACTGAGCTGATAATGTAAATTGGCCTCTGTAAAGAGTTTCTATAGCTGATGTTTCAAGCATAAGCCCTTCTTCAGAGGGAATGGAAAAGGGCTGTCGCTTGAAATATCAGCTTCAGAAACTCTTTACGGTGGCAATTTTACATAATCCATCAAGTAAAAAGAAAGAAAAAAATTGATGTTGACATGCTGCATGAGCTCTAGGAGTGAGGCATTTGAAAAGTAGGGACTAAAAGTTAAGCCCAAGAGTTTGACCTTGGACGGCTGAGTAGTTTACCAGGGGTGCAAACAGGTGATATATACCTATGTTATGAAACTAAACCATCTCAAAGTTCTAGGCACTAACAAACTGGAAATCTACGAAATGTTTCAGTAAGGATGAGTCTCATTAGCAAAACTCCCAAGAAGATGATTAGAAATGGCAGGCTAGTAATAGAACCATTGCAGAATGAGTTTGACCATTTGTGTGCTTGTAATTTGCCTTCAGGGACCATGTAGCAATTTGCAAATCTCATATCTGACCCTTGATTTACTCTGAGCTCAGAATATGGAGCTAAGGATTTTTACACTAAGAAATCAAGTGAGGTGGGCTGCCGGTCACAGTCCTCATAGAACTAAATGAGCAGCAGTTGCAAATTTTTCAAAAAATTTAATCAACAAATGATAAATAAGGCTTTCCCCAAAGCAGGTTGGCAAAATTGTCAGAACTTCCTTCCAAGGAACAAGAGCTTCAAACACTTCAGTCGCTCTAGTTTCAGCAAACAAATTAGGGGAAACCACAGCACTGACTAACTTTTTTGAGATAAGTATTCATTTTTTGAATAAAATACAAGTTATTGTGCAGTCCTAGCAGTTGAGGCAGATAATTTGTTTTTGATTTCAGGCTTTATCTCAAAGCTTCAAATGAATTTCTTGGCCTATTTCAACCTGTAGGTAAGAAATATGATTTTGGGGATAGCGCAGGTTTGTTCAGGAAACTGGAATGTCCTGATTGGGTTTACTGATTGTGGACTTTGTGCAAGACATGGATGACTAAAAGCTGACCCTTAGAGGCATTGGTTTCACCCAAAATGTCTCTTCTCTAGTCTGGACTGTCTTAATGCGCTGAACAGAGAGTGGACTTTGTACAAGAGATGGGTGTTATACAGCTGACTCACAAATGAGTTAGTTTCACCCAACAAATCTCTTCCTTAGTCTTAATCTGTGATGCAAAGACTTGGTCCTACCAAAAAAAAAAAA